TATGTACTCCGCTCACGTGGCATCCCGACGATGGCGATGAAAGTCTCATAAATAAAGAAAAAAATGTATAAAGCTTCCAGATCATATTTGTAGCTTCTCGTGCTAAATAAAATGCTCTGGAGGGAAGAACAACTCTACTAACTTCCTACCAAGATAACTTTTAATTATCGTAAACTGAGAGTGTCCGCCAACCCTTGGCCCTCTGGGGAAACAGATACGTGGAAAAATAAATAGTTGAGCTCATGCAGCTATATTACTGTCGCACTTGCAAAATAGTACAAATTTTCAACCTTTATCAAAAGGAAGCTGGGATATACCGTTAAATAGCCAAAACTAAGCTCTAATTACTGGGGAATGACATTGGGTGAATAGTATATAAATACTCGTAAATGACTTTTGGTTCTCTTCTAGTAGCCTATTAGATATAGAAATGCGATTAATATTGTAGTCAGAAAACTTTCTTATAAGTCTAACAGCTTTTGGTTTGTAGAAGAGCGAAAATTAATTCAAAACCATTCTATCGGCATTCTAACGGCAAAGATAGTCTGACATCGAGTAGATGTAATGTAGGCGCATGGTTTGCTGCCTTCGAAAGTCTTTAAACTAAGTCTACTTTGTAAAAACAATTGTCAGTAGCTCTGGGAATCTTCCGAGAGAGTGTGTCAGGCGTTCGTTGACCTTACTCGATGAGTATGAGCAACAGCTTTTACGATAAGGTGTGGAGAGAGGGTTAAAGCAACTTTTCCAGTTTTTGAAGAGGTCAACAACGTTTCCTGAAGTATAGACACAACAATAAGAGCAGCAGTGTAAAGCTCTTACCATTCATGGGAAGTGTAAATAGTAACACCATGGACCTCATCTCATCTATGTGGGACGCGCTTAGTATCGAACATATCAAGCTACCCGGACATAAAATAAAAAAAAAAAAAATCCGAAAAATTTAGAAAAATACTTTTTTGACCAACAAGTCCAACTATAGCAACTCTTATGGTGTTCTACAGACTGAAAATTTACTCTTCATGAAGAAAAATTCTCAGCACTGAATTCTTGAAGCTATATTTCGAATCTAATATATTGGTTATGATGGCATTTATTATCCTCTTTTGTATTACGGAATGGTATGAATTCTTTTTAAAAATTCTTAAATTCTCTCAAAAAATTCCCTTACATCAAATCAAAACATTTCATAACTTTCATTTCGCTTTAAAAACTTTATAACTATTGATTTTTCACTTTATCCCTCAACTATTTGGTGTGACAGCTTTCCACCATTAATTTAAATGTAAATCTTTAGCCTTGACTTTCAACTACACACTTCCCTTATATTTCTTTAAACATACTTTTCACTGCTCTCTACTCCACTAAGCTAAGTGGGAATTTTTTTTCTTCAAATTCATGCAGCACATGCTTGTACTTACCCTAGTTTTTCTGGAAATTTCTTGCTTTCAAGACCTTCGGAATGAAATTCATTATCAAGGACGCAATCAAAAGTGGGTGCAAAATGTCAGCAAAATAAGTAAAGAGGAACTCCTTTTTCCTTTTTACGCACACACACACTTACGCTCATACACACACAAGTAAGTGTATATAACAACTTAATCACTGACTAACCTTGAACGCTAATCGACACTGTTATTTGTAGCGCACACACCCACAAAATCCATATTTTCCCTACAAAGCAGCTCTACATTACTCTGCATTATCCTGCGTTACATCGCTTTGCTTTCAACGATAGGGAGCGACATTTTGATACTAAGAGCTTGTTGCAATTGCATTCCATTACATTTCCGCTTCCGCCAACTGTCACAGCTGGTGCGAATGGAGATTCGTGCATACATGTGGAAGCGTCCCTGTAATGTGGCCTGCACTTGGTAACAAGTGTTGGAATTTTGTGCGAATTTGCAGCATAGCATTTGCTATATACGTATGTCTATGAGAAATATATGTTTGCGCGTGTTTGCTAAGCTTGGAAGGAAAGAAAATCGCTTTGTTGCAACAATTGGACGTGCTGCGTGCTGCAGCTGATATGCAAGCATGCACTGTATGCGTGTGTTTGTGTATTTGCTTTTAAAAAATAGACATTAAGAAGGATCTAATGTTTGTTGTACATTTTTTGCTTACTTGCGACTGCTCAAGGTCGCATTGGTGGGGAGTGCAGCCATTATTATGAATTGCTTGCTTGCAGTCACAGATTTTCAAGGCTACCTACTTTAGTGATATCATAGCTGCCACGTGCTTTCTTGGTGCACACATACTTCGCTAACTGCGGGAATTCAAGTTGGTTCAAGTTGAAGGCGATTTCACCGGTGGTGGTGCCGGTAAATTAAACCGGAAAAAGAACTTTGTGTGGGAAATTTTATTGCACGACACGTGTAGAAATTTTCTATTTATTGTAAGAGAATTGTTGCATAAAGTTTAGAAGAGAAAAATATTAGATTTACTTAAACTGATTTTTTATTTATTAGTCCATTTTAATTTTTTAAATCTTTTAAGTCCTGCATAGGCATTACCACTCTCCTCGGTATTTTTGTATCGAGAAGGCAACTTGTTTTAATAAAAATATATAAAATTATTAAGAATTTTAGAAAGAGTTAGGAACCTGAGCATAAAAACCATCCTGAATAGGAGTAGGGCGTTGGAAGACTTTTGCGTATTAGGTTTCCATTCAGTTTAGTATGGCATTGAGATTTTAGGCTTGAGACAGACTATATGTATAACTAACCATAAATAAACAAAAAATATAGAGAAATAAAAATAATTCAGAAAAAATTTTCAAAGAAACAAAAAATACTTTATTATTGTATTTATGCATAAAAAGTCTTGACTGGCTTAACTTGTCTTCCGCAATTCATAATATTCGAATGACAACAATTTCCACCTGCACAACTTTCTACTTAGCTTCACATACTTATGCTCCACTTTCTTTCGAAATTCGATATACCACCCAACTTCGAAAAAATTCCAAAAAACTTTGAATTTCATGAACCAGCGAGAGAGTGTTTTCATGCAACGCCAACTGAAAAGGAGAAAATTTCGAAATTCGAACAACATGCCACAAATTCGAATACTCAACAAATGAAAGTACGCCACAAGTGAATATAATGAATGAAAAATCCAAGTGGGGTAGGTTTACCCACTTCGAAAACGCATACCAAATAAGTAAAAGAGCGCTTTAACGCTGAAAAGTAGACACTCATTTTCGTGAGTGCACAATATACGAATTCAACTTGACGCTCTCACTCACATCTACTCATGCTTGCATGGTGCACTCTTTAACTCAATACGCGCTTGTTGTGAGTATTGAGCGCGTAAAGGTGCCAAAGCGCACTTTCAGGTTTACATAATAATAATAATATGTTGGATGTTGGTCTTGTTGTTGCTGTTGATTGTGGTGGTATTGGTTAAGGTGGTGGTTTAACTGTATTATTAAGTGCTTACGTGTGTGTATGTGTGTTGGTGCATTTACAATATCAACTCTTCGCGGTTTGGTGGTTTATGGTGTTTGCACCACCTCTATTTCCAAACAATTGCCAAGCGGAGGGTGACTTTTCGTATTGAGGATATAGTGCTCGGGCTACACTTCCACCGCCAGTGACTGGCTACTGTTGCTTGGTATGCTAGGAGACTGTTATATGAGTGTGTGAGTGTTTGTATTTTACTTTGCTGTGTTTTGTGTTGTATTGACTGTGCCTTGGCATGCCGTGAAAGCGACGAATGACAACTTTTATAAAAGTCACTGCTGCAAGGATAATGTAGTCAGTCGATACAAAGCTATTGCGACGTTAGCATACAACCTTGTGCCGCGGCAGGAATAAAGCGGATTTTCTCATGTCCAAATCTAAGTAGAAGTAGAATCAACAAATTCACTTGAACTGGCGTGTACGTACTTTACGTAAATAACTGTGAGTCACGTGACTGTGGAAAATATTCCAAGTGTTTTTTGGCGCGAAAATATTTTGTGTCTTGGAGACTTGGAATCTTCGGTGGAAAATATTTTTGAATAAAGACTTGATGCAATTGTGAAAGACTAAAGAGCAGAATTATGTAAAACGAAAACTTTTGAAAGAAATTTTTAACAAAAAAGAATACCATTTGAAAAAAGTAAAAATTAAAAACTACGGAACTTTTTTATAAGACAAGTAACTTTATGTGACAGTTATTCTGGGCACCTAGTAAAAGTGTTAGCATCGAAATTAAAAAAAAATTGAATTTCAAATAAATAAAACATAACATAAAATGGAAATCAAATTCAGTGACAAATATATTGAAAAATATTAAAATATTTTACAAAAAACTATTCGTCGCAAGCGAAGCAGACTAAACCAAAACTTAAAATAAATAGAAATTCAAAAAAATTTATGCCTAAAAACTTATACTTTTGGCAAATAAAAATAAAAAAATTAAATTAAAAAATATATAAAATCAAACTTAAATTTTTTCAAACAAAAACTGCTAAAACAAATATCACAAAAGTTATAAATATTTGAATTTTGCATTGAACAATATAATAGTGAAATATGAAAATTTAATTTTGCAATAGCCAAAATGCATGGAAGTTTTGTAATGAAATAATTGCAATAAAAAAATATTTAATTAATGAGAGAATTATTAAAAGCTTTAATCAAGAATTATGTATAACTAAAAATAAAATTTTCGAATGAATCAAATAAAAAAAATTAACCCATATTTTGTAGAAAAAAATTGGTAAAATATAACACAAAATATAATATGACAACTAAATTAAATTAAATAAAATATATAAAGTTGCAACAGCAAACTGAACTAAGTAAAGTTACTCAAAATTTACCAAATAAATAAAATTAAAAAGAAATCCAACTGTTGAAACCAATTGAATATTTTAAAAGAAAAATAAAAAAAAATACAACAAAATAATAAAATTTAGTTAATAAAATTCTTTTTTCGAGAATTTCAAAACAAAAAGTGACTTTCAACTAGAAAAAATTTCCCATCAAATAAAAACGCATACATTAACCAAAATAATGGCAATCGCCTACTTCATACCCGATCAAGTCAAACTGCTGGCGGCGAGCAGCGCCAACAGCGGCAGTCATACTCATCCGAATAACAGCGGCGGCGGCGGCGGAGGCGTCCATGTAAACACGAATAGCTCAACACCGCCACAAACCCCACCGCCGACACACCACACCGCCGGCAATCCTAGCAATAACAATTTTCGCGCCAACATCACCATACCGTTGAGTGCCTACAGCAGCAACAACAACAACAACAGCAGTGCAGCACAAGCGGACGCCGGTTGTTGGGATTTATTAACACAAATATTTTGTCATGCGCTACGCTTTTGTCATCAATCCGAACGCTCGCCGACGACAACAGTTATACAAATATCCTTGGAGATTAGCCAAAGTGAGGCAAGTGCTGGTGGCGACACTTTCGTGCAAGTAGGCGCAGCAGCGGTGCCGGTGACGCCGCAACAGTGTCATTGTCAACATCAGCAACAGCAGCCAACAGCAATTGTACAACCTTCAAATGCTACAACACAAAGAGCGCAACATATGTCTGCAGCGAATGTTCCACAGTCGTCGACTGTTAGCAGCGAGACAGCGGCGGCGGCGGTGATTGTAGGCAGTGGCACACTTGAGCCAGCCACGCACAAGCCGAAGCCGAAGGCGAAAAAGAAGTAAGTTCATCGGTAGGCATTCAAGGAAAAATAGGTGTAGGAGAAACATTTCTTCCACACAGCCTTGCAAATAAACAAGAAAGCAACGAACGTAGCTCTTGTGACGAGCAGGAGTAATTTGTAAAAGACCAGCATTAAGCTCAATCAAAGCGCATTGTGATTCCAGGGAGGTGACGCAAACTTTGCAACAAATTAATTATTAGTTTATTTGGTTTTATTATTTTCTTTTGTTTGTTGCCAATTGAAACTTAAGAAAGTTAAAAAAAAAATACAAAAAACTGTTATTTTCATAGCTTCCTCTGCAAAAAAAAATTCAAAATCTGGCAACATTTCATTTAAATTAATTTTAGATAATTAAAATTTTGTTGTAAGCAAAGCCAGTTACTATTTAATGGATACTAAAACTTTTTTAAAATGTATTTTTGATAAATTTTTTTTACTGTAAAATTAGAAATTTTTATAATACTCACCTAAGCTTAATTGAAAGTTGAGCGAATTGTGAAGAACTTGAAGTAAACTAGCGAAAGAAATTGATTGAAATATTGATCTGTAAGCGTAGGAGAAAAAATGTTGAAAATATTTTTCAAAAAAAAAAAAAAAAGTAACAGAAAATGGAGAAAACTTGAAAATTTTATTAATAAAATTTTTTGAAAAAATTATTTTTTTAGTGTTTTTAAAAAATTATAAATAGAAAAGTTTTAAAACTATTTAAAAACAAAAACAGAATTTTTTTTTGGAAAATTTTTGGAAAACAATTTTACATGCTGGAAATTCTTAGTGAAGATTTTTCAGTTCCTGCAGAAAAAAATATTCGATAATATTTCCAAATTATTGGAGACAACTAATTTTCCATAAACATAAATTTTGATTCTATTTAAAATCTATATTGGTAGAATTTTTTTACAATTTTCGGAAATGGCTTTCAACACAAATATATAAAGCTGGAGATTATTTCTATGATTTTCCATAAAAAATTAAATTTCCATAATATATGTATACCAATTTTCCAAAATTTTGACAAAATAAATTTCAAAACATTTTTCTACAAAAAAAGTAAAACATAAGAAAAGCAGTGTAACGGTTTCGGGTTGTAAAGGACGTTGAAAATGGCGCCAGACAGTAACAGCAGTTCAAATAATATTATAATTTTAGTTTATAAATTTTTGGTTTCAACGCAATACAAAATATAAAGATAATCATAATCACTTAATCTTAAGCTCGAATTATGTATAATTAAAAATTTCGTGTGTGGCATTTTTGGAAAATAAAACGAAAGATATATAAAATTTTTTTAAATATAATAAAAATATTAGTTATGTTAAAAAAATTATTATAATTTAAAATAAATTAAAAATTCGGACAAATAATTCTTTACTTTATTTAAAAAAAATTCAAATAAAAATATAAATAATTTATTTTTTTAATTAGCTTAATATTCTCGGCTGCTCATAATTCTGTGTTTATTAATTTTTAATGACAAAGTATTTGTGTTCCTCATGTTTATATAATTTTCAGTTTTTTTATACATATTTTCATATTATACTCTTAAATTTTTTTTTCCAAAACTCCACGCATATAACTTTGAAAAATCTATTAAAATACCACACCGAAAATACAGAACTTTACTATCAACAAACATAAATCGTAAAATTTTTTCCACTATATATACAAATAACTACAACATAACTCAATATAAATATATTTAAATTTTTGTGTATTAAAATACTAATAAGTATTTATTAATAATACTCAATGCATAAGAACTCTAAATATACACATTACAGTTATAATAAATATTGTCCATATTTAAAAAAAAGTCACGAAAATAAAAACATATTACTTAAAATAAATAACTGTGAACTCTAAATGAAGTGAAAACATTCAAACAAATATTCTTCTAGCTACAAACTTAAATGCAAAGCAAACAAAATACAAATAGTGGAAAGAAACTACAAAATATTATACAAAATCATTACAGCGGAACAGAAAGTAAAAATAATTGTACAAAATATTTATAAGATAAACGAAAGCAAAGCGACTAAAGAAAACTTTTATTTTTAAGAAACAAAGATACAAAGAAATAAAATAAACGCGTAGATACTAAAAATATTACGGTAAAGAACTGCAAACACAAAAAATTACTTTAAAATAAATATTAAATTACCATAAATAATTATAAAAGTAATAATATAATTAACAGCAAAAAGCAGTAGTATTTAATTATATTCTAAAACAAGCAATTAAAATGGGAAAGTTTTCAAGCCACAGCCGAACGAAACACAAAAAAAAGCAAAAAAAAAATACATTATTTAAAATTATTTTGGCTAAATAACTGAAAATGAAAATGTTACTGTAATTTTTATTTAGAAAAATTCAAGTTTGGAAAGCAGCTATTTTTTAAAAGTTAATATTAGTTTATTTACAAAAAAAAACCACTAAAAATGTTTGTAAATTATACTATACTAAAACAAAATAATATAATCATAATAAATAATTAATATTTTGATAAATAAAACTTACAAATTTTTAAGAAAAAATTCGTATTTGTTTTAAGAATTTTGCAGGGAAATTTAAAAATTTTCAGCGTTAGAAATATGAGGAGGATAACTCAGAATTTCATACAAAACTTAAGATTACGGTTTTATCTAAATTTAGCACCGGAAATTTTCGATATTCACGAATATTTTCATGAAAATATTTAAATTACAAGAAGTTTTATAAAATTAGCCCGTCGACCCAACGATATTTTACTATTTTATGAATGAGAATGAAGACGTTTTAAGCAGGTAAACTCGAAGGATCCCTCAAACGTCGTTAATGAAATTTGAGAAGCTCAAAAATGGTTTTTCTATTTATCTATTTTATGTTAGCTATTTTTCGCTTCTTAAAATATGCGAAAATATCAAATCTAATATCAAAATATATTTTGCGAAAAATCAACTTTTTGTTTTGGGCTTAAAACTTCAATGTTTGTATGTGATTTACTGGACAAAAAAAGTCAAAGGGTCCAAAACTGGGATTCCAGGCAAAGAGTAAATCAACTTGATTTATTCGCCGATCACAAATGCATTTTGCTGTCGTGGGGAACTCGTTTCTGCTCGAAACTCTTAACCAATTTCCATTCCAATTCAGAACCGAAGGAATATTCTAACCTCCATGTAATTGTGCGCAACCAACTTTCAGCTTTGATAAGTGTGACAATTACATTCTTTTTTAGATGGCAAAATCATTCGTACTTTTATCCAGCTATATTATTTTCACCTATGAAGCAAAACAGAGGGAAAATTATACCAAAAAAAATGGTCATATATTAGGCAAGAATGAGAAGTGGATGGGTGAGTGGATTCATATCGTCGAAAACCCGAAAATCGAAAATAACCAGATATAAAAGACAATACTTGGCAAAAGCAGGCTTTCTAAGGGCCAGAGTTCTAATCCTGGTTTGACCCATGTCCAAAATTATCGGAAAAAAAAATAAAAAAAAAGCTCCTCATAAAAATATATTGACCGTTCGGCGGCGACTTAGACGGAGCTGCAGGACCCGTCATTTTGTTGACAACACATCAAGACGCATACCATACATGGGAGGAAGAGCTCGGCCGAAACTATCTTAAGCGAGAATTTTTTCGAAATAATTTCCGAAATCTTAAAAAAAGTGCATATAAGTAATGGTTCTAGGACAAAAGCTGTGAAGGGACTATTTTTAAGGAGGCAAAATACAAATTGATGAATAAACAAATATTTTTTCAGAAAAATTAAAGTTCATACCATATTGTTTGCTTTTGTTAATATTAATATTAAATCCACTTTTCTGTATAATCAAAATTGTGTTATGGGTCATTATGATGGGTTACTTGTATGCCACAACGATAATGATAAAGAAATCATCAAAATATTCCAAAACATATTGTAGATAATCGTATTAATTTTGAAAAAATACTCTATAACTCAGTGATGGTCCAGAATCCTTACCATAGAGTTTTTATGGCCCTGGCTTATGAATTGAGAAACTAAAAGCTGTATCAATGTAACTTTGAAAATCATTCGAATGCAGCACACGAAGTTTAAAATAATGGATCCTTTACTTCGAATTAATTGGAACGAAATCGGTATGGAAATTTGACTTCTAGCTAATGCAGAAAATGATTGTTTGTTTCAAGGAGGCGTAACTCCGAATAGAATTCAAAGTGATAAATGATAGCTCAATCCCGTATAAATAACAGAATATACATAAAAAGGTTAACAATTTCCCTATATTGTCGATACAAGAAAATACCTCTGATCTTTCTCAAAATATCTAAGATTATGATTGTGATAAAAAAAACTTTATAAAGAAATTACTGTATAATAGTAATCAATTTACAAGGTTCTCTCGGAGTCTTAGTATCGGCTCGAAACTCATTGGAATTACTAAATCAAATGATTTCAGCTTTTCGAAATTACGGCACCCAATTGCAGGTTTTGTCCTCACCATTTTTTAAAGGCTGTTGCTGGTTGGCAGCTCAGTGGCAGGATTTTTTTTAGCTGTTTAAATTTCTTTGGAAAATTCTTACTGAAATGTTTCAACCTCATAATAAAGCGAAATTTTTATCACGAAACGAAGTTTATGAAATAATGGATGCGACGTAGTATCTACCAGTAAGATTTGGGGCTAGAAGGTAGCGAATGATTAGTAATAGGAAAAAATGTTTTTAATAAAAGATACCCTAGCATTTTTTCGTGCCGTCTGGTGTGCAGTTTGGGGTTGAAAAATTAGAGATGGTGCCAGACAATTCCTTTATAACCGTGAGATTGTTTGAGATGGAATTCAGTGCTGTGATGCATTAGAGGTGTTGGAGTTGCATGGATGTGGGGCGCTCGCTCCTCCTATGTTAGAGATGGTGCAACGAGAATTCGCTTAAGCGATGTGGCTCTTCTGAAATGGTGGTGCGAGGTCGTGCTTCGGACATAAAATGGTGTCATCTGAAACTGATAAAAGAGAACCTCTCAAGAAGCAAATTACGA